AGAGAGAGAGAGAGAGAGACCGCGAGTGGACCACCTCGAGCTTCGTTTCGACTACTAAAGCCACGTAGTGGCTTCGACGTGGTCACGTAGAACGTTTGCAAATGTTTGTGAGCTTTTTGAAATGTTAATGGCCTAGCATGCGTGACAAACATTTGTCAACCACTTGCACTAAACAAACGTTGGCAAACAACGGGTTGTTTATGAGCGCCTGTCGCATTGATAAGGCCAGTTCTTAACCCTGCCGGAGGTTACCTGAGATGCGCCTCTGAAACAGCATAAGCAAATCTATTTTCGAAAAGTAATTTTCCATGTTTCTTCCCTTGTGATAAATTGAGTCATATTTTTCGAAGTTGTAACTATGATACATGTATCTATTTTTCGTATACCTGCGTGATATACCTACTTTCGATCAGGTTATAATTTTATTCTCTTCGTGTGATACATTTTCATTTGATCGGCTGTTATTGTGAAAACGAGACACTTTCGTGTTGCTTCGAGGATTCGCGTTATATAAAGCACAAAACATTTATCAAATATTACACAGAATCTATATTTTTACGCAACCTATATTTTGACCATTTTGACCATTTTGGTAGTTAATTGACAATCGATATTAACAAAGATTCACGGACGAAGATTTCTCTGTGCACACGTTTTCAACGACCGATCGAGAGATTCGCAAACGATTGCTGCGATACACGGTATAATAGTCTCTTTCTATTCTGAATATGCGCAACACTCGACTTTCGTTGAACTTTTGAAATGGAGCCTTTATGGCTGTCGCCATCCACTTGTTGTTGAGCAATCACCACACTGTCTCCTTTCGTCCGAGTAATTGCGTTACGCAATTCCGCGCATCTCTCGAGCTTTGCTTGTTCGCTAATTTAACACGGGACAGTGCGTGGATTGTGCAAGAGCAGTAAAACAGTAAAAATGGCTTCGATGTAAGAAGAAAAAAATCTCGGTCGCGAGCATTTAATACAATACGTAATAACGTAATTTATAGCACTTGAGAAAAGTTTAATGCAAGTTTTCGACGCGTTTTCTGTTCCAAGAGAACTTCAAGATGCACCGGAGCGTCTAATTTTAAAAGAAATTGTCGAACTGTGTCGAATCTTTTATATTTATGTTACGTTTTAGATCGATTTATGGATGTATTTACTGTATGAATTATCACGCGTCTCTGTGAGAACGTCGGCGATGTTAATTCGTTTTGTAATCGAAAGAACTGAAAATGGACGAGTCTGGTCGTGACAGTTTGAACACGAATGTTGCACTCACTGTGTGATGAAATATTGCATAAATAAATACTGCATGAATGATTAGTCTTCCTCCCTCTCCCCCTCCCCCCCCTCTCTCCCTAAAACCATCAAGATCTAACATTAATCTTCCGTGGACAATGGACAGATCGGACGATAGCGTTGTTACACTTTCGCTAAAGTAAAAATATCCATACCGCTGCAATTCAAATGTAGAACGTAGTAAATCAATCTTGTTGTCAGGTTCAGTCAGTCTTGCTTCAATTTATTCCTCTATCGTCGAAAAATGTCTAAAGTTCGATGATAATGTCAAGGTACTCCCTCGTACGTACGATTCCAGATGATGCGTGCAAATTTTCTCAACATATGAAAAGCAAGAATGAGTCTGAGAGACAAAAATTTAAAAAAAAAAAAAAAAAAGGAGAAACGTAACAGAGTTGAAAACTACGGAATCTGAAGGAAGTTTTCAGACAACGATTTAAATCATAATTCAAACCAGGCGTGTAAAGGCTTTCGCGATATGGAAGAGAGATTTTATGTTACAGCACGGGCAGTGAAAATCCGGTTCGAGAAGTGAATATGTTAATAGGGTGGAAGCAAGAAGTATTGGAAATTATCTCATGTTTGATCTCAAACAGGTATGCAAGAATTCTCTAAGTTTCTCTTCGCTAACCATTTCAAATAACTGGAAACAAAAAATAAGATTCTGAAGCAATTATCCTCGATTTTCAGTTACAATGTTTAACATTCAACTGTAAATTTAACGTAAAGACTTTAGTTTAGCCTAACGATGGCAAATGTTGCGATACGCGGCAAACGTTAGTCGAATCCACGCGGACGAGACAGCGGCCATTATTTTACGAAAAAAAAAGTCTTTGCACTACGACTATCATCATCCGGTGAACAACAATATTCTACGTGTTGCGTCTGTGAATAAAAAGGAACGACTGGTATTTTCTGCCGTAAAGTTAGAAATTTCCGCCAGTTGAGCTCGTAAAGAATTCAGTTAATCCTCCCCCCCCCCACTCTTTTCCCTCTCTTCTCTTTTTCTCTTTGAGTCGAACGAAGCTCAGGCTCTGATAATCTACTCCGACAAAGATTAAGATAAAAACAACGGAAGTTTAAAGATATTATACCGAGAGTCTTAACGAAATTACAGGACTGCGTGTAATATCCCAATGAAAGCGGTATCTATGTCAAATTTGCATTCAAAATGAAAGTTTTACAAAATATTTCTTACAGAAAGAAAATTTTTTAATTCGCATTTATTTTACTCGATTCTGATTTTTAAATAAAAGACACGTTCTTTCTTTCGAATGTTGAAAAGACATTGATAACGCATTCTTTATAAGACACGGTGGATTCATCTATCAAGTTATTCATCCATCGAGTGACTCCCACTTTAATCAATAAATCGACGAACAAATTATCATTAATATTTTATACAAGAACCAGAAGGTCTTGCACAATTGAACTGCTATTAATTAAAATCTAATGATCGTGCGTGCTGCCCGCGCGAATGCGATGGCCATTTATTTACCTTTATAATATGATCAAAGGATAGCAGGAAGTCCCCGTTGAGTGTAAATTCGAATAATTATGAGAGATATATACGAATAATTACGTTGCTGCATATGGTAACATGGGTAGGTGAA